CTTAAGATAGCCATAAGAAAACTATAAGCTAACCTTAAGCTAACCATAAGCTAACATTAAGCTAATCATCACAGTGACTAACTGTGATGATGCAACGTGAATTGAATGTCTCTGCAGTGTTTAATGTGGGAGATACGACAAATTAAAAATATGCTTTACTTCCAGTTTTGAAGAAAAAGATAAAATCTGTAGAAACTTGGATTTGCACTCTCTCTGTTCTGTGGGGATTAAAGAGAAAACTGTAAGTCCCGAAGCAGTGAGAGTCACTTTGGGTAAAAGAAAAAAATATTAAATGTTTTGATGCATAATTTTTTATGGACCCGAAGGAGCTGTGGAGTAAGAAAAGTTAAATTGAAAAAGATTTAAAAAAATTAGACAGCTCAGAAATTATAATGTGACATCAATCAGGCAACATTCAATGGAAAAATCTCCCCAAATCAGAAAACTAAAGCAGTGATTGTGTCAAAACCATGGAAGACATCAGGTTTTCATTTGCTTATCTCTGTTTATTTGCTAACCATTGTTGCCGATTTTGTCTGTGTTGTGCAACAAAGAGCTACGAAAAGTCATAACACTCTTTTCTATCAAGCCTCATATTTTGAAGAATATGTTTCATGATTTTGTGTTTCAAAGCAGCCCTGATGAGATACTTCACAAAAATCCTCTATAAATTCTAGTAAACCTGCTTCATAGCTTTTAGGCACCCTTAATAAACGACAGGAATGTCCCCAAGCATTTAACGTGAAAAACAAAAAGGAAATAGTTAACATAAATCTGTAAAATAAGCATTCCTACGCCCTAAAAAGCCCCCGTCACTATAGGAGGAAGTGAATATTAAGAAGATGAGGTGTTGAGGTGCAGCTGAGAGAAGCAGCGCTGTATGATTTAACTTGTGAGGCCAAATTAACAAACTGCAGGAACAGAGAGGTGTTGCCTAACAGTCACACGCGCTCTCGCTTCATTTCCAAAACACCCACTGTTTGCCGTTTGCAATCTCAACAGGCAGATACTCACTCGGCTCTGCGCTGCACATTACTGAAAATTCAAGACCAATCGCAGCTTAATCAGCACTGATTTAGTGTAAAGATCATTGTAAAGTTATTACCCGGTGTGTTTCTTCTCTCTATGTTGATAGTAGATACACAGCTGGGTGATGGAAGTATGGATTTCCACTGTAGGATTTCTCATAAATGTAAAGTGCTAATTGTAGATGATATGTATTCAGGTTGAAGAAGTCACATTAGGCAGCGAGGGTCTTCGTAAGCTGCCGGCATTAGCAAACACTGATGGATGAGCAAAATTACGAGGATTTTGAGAATTTTTCATGGACTTGTTGGCCTTTTCCTTTAAAAACACACTACTCGGATCAAAAAGAATACAACAAAGTTCTACACTGAGTTGCAAGGGGTTCATATTTTCCTGTTTCCATGGCTGTGTATAGTGAAGCTAAAGCAAAACAGGAATGAGGCTTATTTGGTATGAACCATCAATTCATTCATTTTCTTCGTCTTTTTCGTGGCCTGGCCTTTTGTCAGACAAGGCATCCTTCTCTCCAGCAAAACCATCTAGCTCCTTCTAGGGGATTGCAAGGGGTCCTAGGACACCATAGCTGACTCCTTTTTATGCAGAGGAGCTTCTGAACTAATTTCTAAGACTTAGCCGCCCTATGGACGTAGCTCATTTTAGCCGCTTGTATCTGGGATCTTGTTCTTGTCATGAACCACACCTCATGACCATGAATGAGAGTTAGAACGTAGATGGACCAGTTCAGCCTTTCAGTTCAGCTCTCCTACAAGAGAACAGCGCAACGGCCTCTTTACTGCAGATGACACTCCAATCTGTCCATCTCTGTCCGGCCATCACTTATATTTGAACTACATCACATCAGGCAGTTTGGTGCAAACCTATTTATAATCCTATTTTCACATCAATGCTTTTTTTTTTACTTCTTTCTGTTGTTGACTTGAATAATGGCAGTGTTATACTGCAGGTGCATGCACAGTAGGGCTAACTCGTAGGATGGGGCTCGTCATACATCTGTCTGGTGGTAGTGGGGGGTGATGCTAGAGTTTCTGCAGGAATATATCATCAGACATAAAAGTCATCCATCAAATGTGGCTGAAATGACCAGACGTGGTTAATGAAGACATCTGGCCATCTCAGCAAGCTTGTCTAGCTGCAGACCATAAGGGGAACCTTTATCGGAACACATTATCGCCATTTTCAAGAATCAGGGATTAAGGTTAGAGTTGGGGTTTTAGTGAATTTTATCTCAGTGATTGGCCTTGAAGCTTAATAGCTGTTCAAGGTTTTGTGTGGAGACGAACACTGGACTCATGATCATGTCACTGGGCTACAACCATTGGAGACTAGTTAGAGAGCTCCCTTGCAGATGCCAAAATACCACTCGAGACATGCCTGAGACACCAGCGTCAACTCTGTCACTATTTTGAGAGAATGTTAAACAACCTAGTGACAAGAATCTTCAACTTGCACGAAGAAACTGAGAACCTCCATAAACGTCACAAGTCATTCTGCAAACTCTGTTGCAAATTCTGTTCACCAACAGGTGCAGCCCAGTGAGATCTTACCTGAAAGGTTATCTCAATATGAGAGTTTGGAGTTCCCTTGTTTCCATTGTTACAACGGGAGCTGGATGCGGGTCACCGGTCACTGCAGCTAGCTGTTGCTAGCAGTGGGACTCATGCCTCCTGTCGAATATTGAATCTCTAGGAGACTCTTTTTAGCGTTGCTGGCCCCGTTTAACCCAGTCAGAACCGGGTTATAATTTCATTATAATCCCATCTCTGAACAGATCAGAAACTCGGGGTCAGTCCAGATAACTATCTTAACACCATGATCCTCTGTATCTAAACACTTTTCTGTTCCAGTCTTTCCCAGTGTAACAGGCTATATTATACCACCATTGCAGACAAAACCTGGGGTTAAAGGGGCATACTATGGCTAGGCCAATTTAAAACCCTCAATTCCAGATTATACTTCCATGACATCAGTAGGGATGAGTCATATAAACAAAAATAACCAAATGCTAACAGACTTAAATCCTAAAACTCGAAACATCTGGTATGGGTCAGGCCAGATTATGAGTATATAGATGGGTATATTCCGGCCTGGAGGGGTATAATCTGGCCTAGGCTGTTTTACACCCCAGAGTTTATTCTAGAACAGTTTATCCCCCAGGATATGCCCAGCATTTGGGTGGTCCTACAGCCCGGGAAACCGAGAGGCCAGCAGAGTCTGGGTGGACGGATTGGACGGCATCTGCAGCCAGTTTCTTAGGATCCACTGTGGGATGGACCTTTACAAGAGATCCTTCCTGCCTACAGCCATCAGTATCTATAAGATCTCTTAATGCAATGAGGATAGTTACAACAACAAATAATTTCCCTCTGGGATTAATAAAGTATTTTTGAAATGAATAGAATTTTGGGGTATGAATCAGAGGCGTGCATGCTTGGGGATTCCTGAGCAGAATATTATTAAGACAGTATTTTAACAAGATATCACAATAAAGACACACGTTGACCTTTACATGTTGTGAAGATAATAATAACAACAACAACAATAATAATAATAATAATAATAATAATAATAATAAAGTGCTATGTGTTGTCATCATTGTATGTTCCCATACAATGGCGCATTTGACCCATCGCACCTGGGATGCATCCAGGTGGAGTGGTGGGCAGCTATGGGGGCGCCTGGGGAGCAATTGGGGATTGAGTGTCTTTCTCAGAGACATCATGACAAGTGGGAATGGCTGGGGATTGAACCCGAGACTTTCAGGTCTTGGGTTTCCCTACCTCTACCCCATCTCGGCCCCCAAGTTGATATATAAAGTGAGTTAGACTGAGTTTAACAGACAAATCTGTCTTTAAAGGAAACTCGTTTCTGTTGGTTTAGACTTAAAACCAGCATTCTTTAAAACCCTTTTCCAATGTGGACACATTTGTTTTATTTCCTAACAAACAACCTTCAGTTTGACTATTTCATCCTCCAGTGTAGCACTCGTGTAGAACAACAAGCAACAATTTCATCATGCTTTACTGGTCTTAAATGGGAGGATAGAGGAAAACCTGGACAGTTTCATTATATTTTTCTCTTCGATCTTTAGTGGTCTTTTGCTTTTCTCCACATTGCGTGCGCGCACACGCACATGCACACACAGAGCAATGTCCCCAGGGGTTAAGAAAACCTCTTGTGCTCACTTTTGGAGCAAAGCTCGCCCGTCTTCTCGAAATCCTCTACCTCCTACTTCAAAGAAGCGTATCGGTGAAATGTTACCGTGGCCAAAGAAAAGTTTGTCGGCTGCAATTATAAGTAAAAAACAAAAAAAAAGTGTTGCTTCCTGTTGTTAAATTTGACATTTTTATGAAGAAACAACCGTTTGAAAACTGAAACCAACCAACAAGCCCAAAGTTGTTTCCGTTTGTTTGGATAAGGCAACTTTCTGTTCAGCTTCAGGCACCGTGTGGTTGTTGGAGTAAACCCATACCTGATGTAGGCTTTGAGGAAACCGTCTTTAAAATACTCAACTGAACAATTAAACCAGTTGTTTATTTCCACGTTACTTTTGTCTGCAGATCAAATATCCGGCCCGAGAATGCAAACAATAATTTCCACGAGTTTCAAATGCACACCTTCGAAAGAATCACCTCCTGCAACTCCTGCCACATGCTGCTAAGGTAAGGAGGTCAGACACACTCAGACATGCCACATATCCTAAAGGAAATACAGGAAAACTTCAAAATAAAGGCCTTGCATTCCTTAAAATTATGAGCAAAAATTAAAATTAAAGAAATTGTAGTCGCATCATTGTATGAAGGATGGATCTACTCTTCTTCCTGGTTGAACTTTCTGTTTAGCAGTACAGTAGCCCCTCGCTACTTCACGGTTCGTTTTTCGCGGACTCGCTCTATCGCGGTTTTTCAAAATAAGATTGGACGTTTCCTGCTTTTAATTATTTTGTTTCCAATTGTAAAAAAAACAAAACAAAAAAAATTGTATGAATCTTTTGTGAATGGCTATTGTCATTATCCACTGTTGTCATCACTCTGTTAAAATCCAGGTCTCTCTTGTAAATGAGTCCTCATGGCTCAATGGGACTCACCTGTTTAAATAAAGGTTGAATGAATGACACAATTGGTTGATTGATGGATGAGCCGCACGATCGGCATGGAACTTTTATTTAAAATAAATTTATTTAACACCTGCTGCTGAAAAAGCTTCCTCCTGCAGGGTGTCATATCTCCGCTCTGAAACGGAGAAGTGGGCGTGGCCAAGAGCACTGTGCAGCAGGAGGCAGGGAGCTGAAATCATGACATGCTTTTTTAGAGCATTTAGAGTTTAGAAACAATGTTTAGAATATTGCAAGAATGTGTGATGGGCTTAAAACATCTTCATATATATATACATATAAATATATATAAATAAAATTATGAATATTATATAAATACTAAAATACTACTTTATGTACTACTATTCCTACTTCCCAATTTTCACTTATCGCGGGGCGTCAGGGTACAGATCCCCAGCGATAAACGAGGGACTACTGTATTGTTTCTTAGTAGTGACACCTACTGTTCAAGAAGAAAACTGCAGCAGCATCAACACAAACGGCAACAAACACCCTGAAAGTGATTCACTCTGGCCACAACCCACAGAGGCACAAACCTAGTTTCTACTACAGATTCTTTGAATATTACCAAGAAAAGGTCAAAGTTTCTTTATTGTCATTTGCATCATATGTGGTACATGTGATAGAATGAAATTGTGTACACAGGGTCCCAGTTGCATCCAACAAAAGTATCAATTGTAAAAGAAAAACAGTAACAAGAGCTAAGATATGAACTAAGAAATACGCTAAGCACTAATAGTACAAAAACAATACGCCGAACAACAGCAGCACAAACATACATTCAGCTGGTAAAACTAGAAGTCTTGCTACAAAAACTGGGGTAGCTGCTTTTGTGATAATATTTTCTTACAGCACAGATACGCAACACAGTGTGTGTTTACTTGTCTGTCTGTTAGCAAACTATGTCATCAACCACCGGACGGACTTTAATGAAACTCGCAGAAAGTAATCCTTGGATGTAACTCGACAGCTGAATAACTTTGAGAGTTATTCCAATTCAAGATGTCCGCCACAGCTAAGCAAACTCAGGCTCCAACTCTCTCAGTTTTATAGGTACCGAGCTAAAATTTGGTGTGGAAGTAGCTGAGACTCACCCTTAACACAGTCTGGGAGAAATAGCTCATTTTGTGAAATTTCACAGATTATTAATCATTTACAAAGTTTGACCAATCATCTTTTCTAATCGTAGGATAAAAGACTTTGGGTGATATGCATTCATTCAAGGAATGCTGGGCTGTCGGTTTACTTTTAAATATAAATCATGACTTTTTGCTCAATTTATCCCAATAAACCTAATCTATAAAAGGAGTTACAGCTTTCCCTTTGACTGGCGATGAAACAAATTGAGTAGAACCACTCAGGCAGCTGGAGCTTTGTTTGGGAGCTTTTACACAAAGAAAAAAATAATTCTTAAAAAAAAACAACAACTCAACTTTAAAGCAACACTGTGTATAAAGTCACGGGTGTCACTGACATGATTTAATGAGGGCTGCAAATTATAATTAGTGAAGCAGAGTGCAGGAGCACAAATAATAACGTTCTCACATGTTTACTTCATGCCTGCCTCTTTTATAGAGGTTAATCAAACAATTAGCTGAGGAAAAGTCTTTACTTTTATGTCGTTTTAATTGTTGTGCGAACAAAAACAGAGCTGCACACACACCGACTTCAAGATATTTTGCAGGATTTCAAATTGTTTTGCCTAAATTTAACGTTGATGCGTGTAAAATTCTGCAGAAACTGTGGGTGGTATTTTATTTTTGTACTTATTAACTTCTTTCTCACTCATTGCACCAAATATCAACGTCCCACTTGTACAAGAGGCATCCAGGAGGTCTCCAGTCATCGGTGTGGATTGTGCTGTAACCGTAAATGTCAAATTTCACGGCAAACAGGCCGGTGCACAAACCGTCGGTGCTCTTAAACCTGACAAGAGATGCAGCCCAACTCACGGTGCACACCGTGCCATGATTTGTTGTCGTTTTCGTGTCTGCAGGGGGATCTTTAACCAGGGCTACTTGTGCTCCAAGTGTGGTTTAGGCGCCCATAAAGAATGCCTCGCACGCTTTGGCATCTGCGGGAAAACAGGTACGTCCACTGCACAGCCTCACAACAATCCTGCAGACATTTGAACAACTATGCACAGAGTAAAATGTTTTTTTCTTTATGACGAGGGTTTAAATCCTAAAGCTTCAGGGTTTCTGCAGGGTCTTGGAAAGAAAAATCATTAAAAGTCTGAAATATGTCCAGATTTTCCATTTGAGGTCTTTGAATACATTTAGACTTAATCCCTGTCCATCATACAACCGTCCTCCCATTAGGACATTCAGTCCAGGACAGCTGTCTTTGCAAAACATTTTTTTTTTTTTAAAAACATGGCAGAAATGTTTTTTATCCACAGGGAGACACTGAAAACGAATCAAAACGCTGTAGTAACTATGCCAAATGCTGTAAGACTGCCAGGATCACCAAATCCTCTTTGTGGACTGAAGTGGAACGTCTACTTTGTGTCACATTAACTTACTTTTAACTGGGTCTTATGTCAGTCCAAATATGAGGATATAATGGACGATTACAGGGACAGTGTCCAGCGAGAGACAGAGGGAAGAGTTTTTCCTCATAATGTTCAAAGGGATCAAGGTACATTATAACAATTCTTAGTATTTTAAAACTGTTTTCAGTTTTGCTTCAAGTACATTCATGTATACTGATATTTTCCTGCGGCACTTTCTTTCTTTTTATGACAGTTCATAAAAGTGATAAAAAAAACCTTTTGGTGTAATAATGAGGGATTATTTTCTCTGCTCTATTCAAGTCAGTTTTGTCATTCAACAGCTGTGTCTGCTCACTGATTTAATACAGAATACTGCCTGCACCACAAACACAAACCTGTAATCTGCCATCATTGAGATTGTGGGTAAAGTTAGACGTGGGACTATGACATCATCGTTTTCAAAAAGCTGCGTTTAGACTGTTCACACGAAAATGCAATCTTTCATTATTGTTTCACTTCGGAACCCATCCATCCATCCAATTACCATTCACTCTCTCACTCATACCTAGGGACAATTTCTAGTTATCAATTAGCCTATCCGGCTCGAAGGACCAAATGTTGGATAAAAGTATCCTCTATTTAATTACTTAAATAAAAGAAACACACTCAATGGCAGGAGATTTTTTTAACCCAGTTTTCTTGCAAGGGCAGACTGTCACAAAGCAGGCTTAGAGAACATGCAAACTCCACCCAGAAAGGCCCCTGGTCAGAATTGGTACCAGGGCGACCTGCTTGCTGAGCTCAGCAGCTCTACAAACTGTGCCACCGTGCTGCTTACTTTGGAACCCACTTTACAAAAATACAGTTTAAGGGATTTTAAATCTTTCCATGTGACAGGCTGAATTTATAAAACAACAACAACAAAAAAAACCTGAGAACTTTGGCACAACGCCATTCCCGTGTGGACAAGGCCTTCACTATTAGAAATCCAGTTCCTCTATGACTGAAACACATTTAATGCCGTTTTTTTTTTTTTTTTTTTTTAATTATTATAAATGATTTTGGTTGGTTTTGGATATTGGTCCTTCAAAAGGTGGTAAATTTAACTGACTATAGGTTTTAGAAACCTTGAGTTGGAGAACATGAGAAGGTGTGGAGAACCACACCATGGAGAAAATGAAGGTGTGGTGAACAAAGTAATAAAAAAAGCTAAACAAAAAACGTGAGGAACAGAAGTGGCTTTACGAGGTCTTCCATCAGTGTTTGACACATTTTCACCCTCCAGCTTCCCGGGGCTCTTTTCACACTTCTCAAAGCGAGCGTCACCGTCTGTCTGAAAGCCTGAAGGTAGTTTTACTGAGGAGTTTTTAGAAAGTTTTTGTCACGTCCCTGCGCATCTGTCGCTCGGGTCCTTGTGCAGGCAGCATTGACTGCTTTCAGGGAGGAGGGAAATCTTCAGCCATGCAGAGCGGAAAGGGAAACAAACAAACCAGGTCTTCAGAAACTGGCTTGGCATGTCCACCACGTGCGTTTACGAGAGCCTGAAAAAGCTTAAAAAGCCAACAAAATGTGGCGTTATATTCTGTCTTTGTGGAAGCACAATGTTTCTGTGTTCTAGTAATACAGCTTGTTGCAGGTTTACGAGTGGTGGTTGGATTCCCTGTGACAATCCGTCATCTCCTGTCGGAGCCGGCATACGTCTCGGTGCTTTCAGGTGGCCGAGGCAACAACGCCACCGGCAGCCCCACCTGAGCACCAAGTTTGACGGAGGAGATTACGTAGTACACCAGGGAGTTTGAATCTGCACTCTCTTTACTCCACAGTCACCTGCAGGAGAATGGACCATTAAAATACCTGAGTACATGTACTTTATCATGATTGAAACTTTACTTTGTGTAGACATACACCCACCTGCAAAAATGATTGACGCTGGTTTCATTTTCCACTTAATGAAAGTTTGGTCCGGTCGATTTTGGCTTCGATATTTTTCATTAAGGCGCCAAAGCATAATCTATACAGCATCCTTATTACTATTTACCCATTAATCTTCCCTTTCTGTCATGATTTTTGAGATTTTAAAATAAAAAAAATACATAAAAACGTGTAACTTAATCAGGAATGGAGTGCTATGAACTTTAGTTGCACATGGACGGAATTTGTGAACATCTCCCCATAGACGACAATGGGATCTTGGGAGAGCCCGGTCGTATTTGGAGCGCCATACCTCAGACAGACTTCAGCATAGAAACATCAATAAAACTTTTAATGTGTCCCAAAAAGTTAGACTTCTTATGTCTGAAGTGGCATTTTGACGTCTTTAATGGTTTTTACGGAGTTCAAGTTTAATCGTTTAAGATTTTACGACTTGGGCTGATGAAGTCGTACACTAAACTCTGAGCAGTCTAAACTTTCCAAAAGTTTTGCAAACAAACTCTTCTGTTCACGCAAACTTTACGTTGTTTTAAAAACACATCATGTGTCGGCCTTCTATAGGACTTGTGCTTTTTTCTCAAATCCCCACCGAATGCAGCGAGTTCACCCAAACTCCCGTTGACTCATTAAATCTCGTCTCTTGGAAACTGAAACTTTTTACCTCCTCATAAAACTGTTGACATTAAAAGTCACACGTGTGACAATCAGACACGTGTGCCACTTACTAATTGTATTAAATATGATTTATAGTCTCCGACTGTTCAGACTTACATTTTAGTCTACGTCTCTTTCTGCCTGTCTCATGGAGACAAAACCTATAAATAATGGCAGATAAACTAAAAGTGGAAAACCTTAAAGACACCCAAGCTTCATTTTATGGACAGATTGAGGCTTTGTCCACACGGTAACAGCGTTTTGTGGATACGTTGCTTTTTTAAAGCCTTGTGTCCACACGGAAACGGTTTGGGAGCCTCAAAACGGTCCTTATGGAAACCAGGTTTCCAATGTCATATAATCTTGAAAGCAGCCACCCTTTAGTTGCCAAAAGGCAACCCCTTGAAACAATTTATGCATTTAAATCTCAAAACTATCAAAGCCAATATAATATTATATACGTGTAACACATAAAGGCCAGGCAGTTGACTGCGGCTACAAAAGCAGCATCAGAAGAGTGTCCTTTAAAAGAAAATATGAATTATCAAAAAATAATTTAACGTCAAGTCTTCCAAAATAATCAAGCATAGAAAAAAATAAAGATATTGCACATTAAGTTCCAACAAAAGTGTAGCTACATTCTTTTCAATTGATTTTACTGGCATACCAAACTTCATTGTCGTTTTAGTGTCAAAATAAAAAGTGCCAAAACACACATAAAACATAAGTAATGCGTCAAACAACAATTGGGTGCATATACCAGACCTGTGTCCACAATTCAGCTTCCATTATATAACCAAAAACAGTTGTTTTACCTCTTCAACTGAGTGAGGAGTACTTGGCCTCAATGAGCGGCCTGGTGGCTATTAATGGCAGAATTCCAATGGAGTTTTGAATTAGAAACACCAGCAATTCTGGTATAACAACTCTTCAATGAGCAATCACATAGTTGCCTTAAACATGAACAATGTTGCTACAAGATAACAGACTCACCGTGTGTTTGAGTTTGCAATATGCAGATCTGAAGTGCAGCAAAATGTTTGGGAGCCGCCCAATGGAGCACACCACAGCCACAGGGAAGGAGGAGGAAGTGAACTGGGACCCATGGCTTGAAAAAAGTTATAGAGAGTTGGGGCAACACAGGAAGTGGGCCCGCCAAATTAAAAGTCATAGACTAAATGCGGGTTACATACGCATGATTTAATGTTTTATTGAACCATCAACAATACAGCAGCAAACGTTACATAGAAATATCTACAACAGACGTCGAATAGAAAATGTGAGAATTGATAATAATTATTTTTTAAACACTGTGAGGGAAACACCCCTGCACCTGAACGCATCCATTTTTGTCCTTGTCTTTGAACTGCCATGACTCCCAGTTTATAATAGTAACACCCCTGCACCTGAACGCATCCATTTTTGTCCTTGTCTTTAAACTGCCAAGACTCCCAGTTTATAATAGTA